ACGTGAGAAGGAGAGAGAGAGAGAGAGAGAGAGAGAGAGAGAGAGAGAGAGAGAGAGAGAGAGAGAGAAAGTTATCGTTCCTTTTGATAAAAGAAAGATAAACGCGTGTGGTTGCGCGCTTTCGAACTGAAATTTCAAGGGTGAATGTGTTGGCGGCTGAAAAAAGTACGAACGAGAGAGAAGAAAGTTTTGAAAAATCTGTAATTGATGCGAGGGATTTTGTAAATTTTTTAAGAATTCCTAAGGGTGAACGCTTCACGGTTGAGGATTATTGACGAGAGATCTTTGTTGAATTTTAATGTGAATTTGGATATAAAAGATAAGGGAGGAGGGAGGAGGAGGGGTAAGAAATATTAATGTCGCGAGATAAAATTTGCGGTTTAAAATTTTAATTCCGTTAAAGAATCGAGGGTAAAGGTTCTCGATCGGAGATTTTCCATTTAAAGGATCATAATGGTTGAAATAGGGGATAAATAATTGTAAACCAACTCGAATCGCTTTTATTAACCTTACTCTTTATACATTTGCCGAGTAACATGGAAACGTGATCGTTGCGAATCTCCGATATCCAATAACATCGTCTCCCTGCATTTTGGGTCACGTTAAACCTGATATCGAGTAAAGTCAAAGACTCGGTGGGACGTTCGAATATATATATATATAAACGTCCCATTATACACCGTTGTACGATTATAATCAAACTCGTCGAAACGTTGCTTTCCTTTACGAACCATCTTGGCAACGATAATAACAATGTACACAAATTATCGAAGATCCATCGTCCATCCAGTAACATCTCGATTACAAAATGGATCCTTCAACGATTACCTTAAAATCCTCAAAAAAAGAAAACAATCAAAGACACCCTTTCGTTTCTTCCATTCTTCCTCCCTTCCCAAAACGATCCCAATTATTCGAAAATCTTCCAAATCTACCCCTGCCCCCCAAAGGGCACTTTGTTCACGTTCGAACGCTGGTTTCCCTTCTCGAAACGAAGTTTCGTCTCGTGAATCTCGTTCCCTCGACAAAACATCTCTCGTCGTCCCTGTTCGACACGCGACGAGTGGCCAGCGCGGGTATCGGAAAGTGGGTAAAGTAGAAAGCGGGGTGGGTGGTGCATCCGGGGACAAACCGATACACGACGAGACGCAGTCGAAACTTTGCTTCCTTACCCTTTTACCACGGGTGTAACGAGGGGAGAGGTTGGGCGGGCTGCCTCCTCAAAGATAACGAGGTACGCGCCAGTAATCAAAGGAGACTCAGACTTAAATAGCGGGCGTGCCTCTTAAAAGAAGCTCTCGAGGTGGATACACTCCACTGTCACAGCCGCTGCTCAAAGTCAACCCTTGCGTTTGTACAGACGGCCGCAATAATGACGCTGATGGATTTTCGTGTTTTCGTTTCATCTGTGCCCCTCTTCTCCCTCTACGTGCTATTTATACGCGCTGAGGACTCTTTTCTTAAAAATCTTCTCCTTTTTTTTTTTTCATCTTTGATTCGCGTAAGAAGATTCGCGAAGGTCGATGGTTTAATAAATTTCGATCGAAATTCAGAGTAAAAGAATCGGTTTTTTTTCCTCGATGAAATTTATACGAATGTCGTTACGTTTATGATTTCTTGAAAGTCTTTCTTTTATTTTTCGGTTGGTTTTTGATTCGATGCCATTCGCGTAAAGTTTCTTCAAATATACGATCGAATAAGAATTGGAGCAAGAATTTTGAAAGGATTAGGATTAGTGTTTTCATTGATTTTCGAGTATAAGAGTTATAAGAGTTTGTGCGCAAAATGGTGTATGTTGACTTCTCTTCCGAGATCTCTCCAAACTCGTGTAAACGTCCTACTTCTTTTCCTCGAGTAGTTGCACGACTTCCACTCTTGGTATTAACTGATCCTGCTACCACGAACAAAGAAACGAACTCGCCGCGTGTATAATTCATGAAACGTAAACGTATGAAATGTGAACCGATTGAAAGATTATTTTTTATCGAGAATCGTAGTATTCGATAAATATTTATCCTTTACTTAAAGGAGCTTAAAATTTTTCTTCTTCTTTTAATTAGTCGATGATTTTTCCCGACATTTTCAAGATTTTCTACAATTTTAAACGCTCTTTTTTGTTTTGACGAGGCAATAATTTTTCGAGATCTTATTTTCTTTTATCTTTAGAGAAAGAAAGGAATGAGATTTTTTAATATTGGCCGAATTTTTAATCGACTTTTTTCGTTTTCTTCGGGAGTGGAAAAATTTACAATCTTGCTTTTTTCAATTAACTTGTGAATACATATTGTAAGATTTTTTTAAATCATTCGAATAATTTAATCTTTTCGAAGGAAAAAAGTTATAATTTTGGTATCGTTTTTAAAAGTGTTACGATAAAACTCGAACTAAAACTTCTTTGGATGCTCGTCCAAGGGATCGTTCTCCTATAGTTACGAATAAGAAAGATACAAACTGTCAATGTTAATATCTTAATATAATATAAAGAAGAATCACTTTTTCCCTACTCATTCGATCGAATAGACGAATGTGTTTCGAACTGGTTCCACGCATCGATGTCTCGTATCTATTTCGTGGATCGAAAAAAATCTTCCCTCTTATATACTCTTAATAATAAATCTTGTTTCGATCGCGTTCAGTCTTAATAAATCTGGAGGGATAGTTGGATGGAAAATTGGTTAGAGAGCGGAACGGTATGCGAACGGCTGGGGCAGCTGTCGCATTCGAGGTTGAAACAGGTGTCCCCTGATCCGAGAAACTGTGGCAAGGAAGTCGGGTAGTTGGTAACACGTGACTGACCGGTTCAAGCCGCGAGAACAGGTGTTTAATTACATAAGGGTGGGACAAGTTCGCGCTGTGTGCGTCTCGCTACGAGTTTCAGGAATTTTCCCCTCAGCTATGGGAAACTCGTCGTGGAATTTTCGTCCGAAGTCAGAAGTCCGAGTTTCAACGAGTTAAAAGAAAATAAAATAACGATAATAGCGGGATTCTTAGAAGCAGAATTTAACCCTTTGCACTCGTGTGTGCACCTCATACAGTCGCCATCCTACGTTTTATTAAATATACGTGTAACATAATGTTAAGAGGTTCGTGAAATGATCGAGTCTTGCTTTACTTTCAACAGTTCGAATACCTGCCAACAGTGTAATTTATCAGCGGGCATGGTTTTCGTTTTCCAGATCTTAGTTAGAACAGATAGCACAGCAATCTTCACGAGCTGCGATGGACCACCGTGGAGGCGAGAGCAAATGCGACGATTGGTCCCTCTAACTCCTCTCTCTGTGTGTGTAGTCGAATTAGAACAAGCGTAGAAGACGAAAGTCGAATTGGAATAGGCATAGAAGACGGACAGATCAGTCAGGCGACGATACAGTTTATCAAAGCACAGTTAGAATCACACAGTTAGCATT